TACCTCTTTTCCCTGCACGGACAGGCATCAATCACAGTGAGAACACAGGAAAATGAAAAAAGATTGTACTTTTGAGGGAGTTTTTGGTGTGTGTGTGTATATGTGGTCAACTTAGACAGCAGAGTGGGTGATGGAGAAGGAGGAGCTTAGTGGGAATGCTTGGACAAGAGCGGACATTAATCGTCGGATGGACAAGGAACACATCTATGGTGGATCAAAATCGGAGGTTCACATGGAGCATACTCGTTCATACCGGTTCAGCATGCTGTTGGGAGAGCAAGGAAAGCTCTTTATGGCCCGATGAACATGCGTTATGATCACAGTCATGTGGTGCAAGCTCCTCGTATTCGCTTGGTTACCGAGCCCACCCGTCGCTGCAGCCTCAGCTACAAAGAAGCTGCTTCTTGCCATAGTGGCACGCATGCCATACAAAAGGGGCGGTGGGGGAGGGGCGGTGGGTTGGGTTTGTGCGTGATAGGGACTGAAGAGGGAGGGTGGGGGGGAAAAAAAATCGAAATACTGTACCGATTGATCTGCAGAGCTTGTGACTGCCGCCTGTCAAGCATATTCAGAGAGATACAATAAATCTGCTAGATCCGCATACTGGGAAAGGATCACACTGGATCATCAAGCTTTTTCCTATCGCAGCTGTCGGCGGTGAAGCAATCTTCTTTTTGTGAACACTAAGAGCTTGCAGGAGCGTCGCCAAATGCAAATAACTTCCTTCTGAACGCCCGCAAAATAAAATACATCCGCGAATGCTATATTTCATTGCCGTTATTGTGCTGAGATGTGGGATGTCCAAACTTTTTTTTTTCCCACTCTCTGCCACATACTGAACAATGAAAAGAGGGACTCTAAAAAATACATTTGGTACGCAACTTTCCTTTTGCATTAGCTGTATGGCTACAGCTGTGGAATTATTGGAATATACGTATTACTTCCATTATTTACTTCTTGCAGCGGGACCAGAAGGCAACACCTTAACTCTCTGCCTCATGTTTGGATTTTTGGGGGAATTTTCCCTTGAGATATTGCTCGATCTATTTTTTTAAGGAAAAAAAACTGTCTTGTTTATGAAACAGTTATTAATATTAATGTGGGATCAACATTGTTTAAATGTAAAAAAAAAAAAATAAGTTGTAATTTTCATTTCAATGGAAAATAATTTGTTATCTTGTTTTATAGTTAGTTCCCTAGAATTTTAAAGAAAACAATAAAACAATTAAGTCTTGCAACATTCAACTATAGTTTTATTTTGTTAATCAAAAAAAACAGTAGATCTTATAGTCTTTCACAATTTCAACATTTTCTCATAACGGCTTGATGTGTGTTGAGTCAAATTTTGAGACTATGCGGGAGCAAGGTCAGTTAATTTCACACACGAGTTTTCGGGTTTGATTTTATTTTGGTATTGCCTTGCATTGTATGGAAGAAGGAATGTCTAACATTGATTTGGAAATTGTAGTTTATTTTATTACGCCTTATTTAGTGACCTTTTATTACTATCTTGCACTTGACAAATGCCCCATAAAGATTTTTAAAAAACTAAAACCAATACTAAAACTAATAAAAACTCTACTAAAACAAAGTATTTTTGAAAAAAATACAAAATGGGAAGAAAAAAAAAATAAGAATAATGAAAAATTCATAGCAACCGTAACTGTGTGTGGGAGGCCAACAAAAACGTGCATTTGGTTGCAAATGGTCCACGGGGCGGACTTTGGACTCCCCCTGGCTGAGGGGCTTTTTTTTTTTTTGTGTAGCAACACATGGATGCAAGCAGTTTTATTTATAGCAGACGAGTGCTACATCTAAGACCCCCACTCGAGAAGATAAGCGTGGGGAGATTAGAGCGTGTGTGCTTGCAGAAGGAGCAGCTGTTCACCCACCTCGGCGTGGTGCTCCTGGTTCTGTTGAAGGACCTCAATGACTAACTCCGCCAAGCGAATGGTTTCCTCCAGCTTTTTTGCAGGGGTGACTAAGCGGCCTACATTCTCTGAGAAAAAAAAAAAAAACGATTAGGGCGAGGGAAGGGTGGTTTGTCAAGTATGGAACAGAATTTCAAGTCAAAAGGTGTTGGGGGGGGGATTGTTCTGTGACAATGATTTTTTTTATTTTTTATAGACCTTTTTAGGATTATAAACTAAGCGCTTGCGCTGTGATAGTTATTCCGAATAACAGGTCGTTCCCACTTTCAGTGCATGTAAAGGGCTGCAGGACATAAAGCAAAATGTGATGTTGACAGGCTGTCAGGCAGATGTGAAGTCGACACGCAGATGGAAGTGCAATTTCACACACACACACACACACACACACACACACACACACACACACACACACACACACACACACACACACAAAAAAAAGAAAATGCACACAGAACGGCTGCATTGATGAAGCATCTGTATTTGGAGCTGCTTTAGATAACTAGCCATGAAAATTGAAGAGAAAAAAAACTGTATTGGTATCACTTGACCAAGGTTGTAGAAGGAATAATAGAAATCGGTCTGTCCAAAGATCAATATTTATTTTATCTTCTCCATGGAAGCACTTTCTTACCCACACCCCCCGGTTGTTTTTTACATGCTGCCAACAGTTCCAAATCAGATGCTTATTCATTGCTAAACAGGTGGATGGCATGACAACAGTGAAATGATGCACATCATTTTGAATGGTCACATGTAACTCCAATGAAAACACACACACACACACACGCACGCACACGCACACGCACACACACACACACACACACACACACGACTACTACTATAGTATTTGTAAATGGCCCTATAAGAACATCTGGTTGCGGGAAATTGATTGTTATTTGCAGTACGATGAGCAAGTGGGCATGCGCATCTACGTACATTGAGATTTAATGTGTATCCGAGACCAAGTTCAAACATTTCAGATCGTCTTCATTACATGAACCCTTTCGGGGACAGCGGTTACTACAGTGGACAGCTTATCATGTTATCAGGTGACAGGTTATCATTATTGGTGCATGAAAGGGTTAAAATGCAAAAATTAACAATTCCATCAAGTAAAATGACACAAATTACATTTGTTGTGCTGCCACTGAAAATAATGCTGTCAACAAAAACAATTTAAGGATTTGGAAAAGACTTCACTGCCTTCACACTAGTTGTCGTTATTTTATTTTACTTTGCATTATTCTAAGCGGAAGTATTGTATGGAAGGCACTAGTAGTAGTGAAATGGGATTTAAAGTCATTTCAAGGCGAATTGAGTTTGAGTGTTCCCTTGTTTAAAAAAAAAAAAAGATACTACTTAACATGCATATTGCACAGTATGTTCTCAGTTCTTATAAGATACTTTATGGAAGATGTGCTACATACAGTATAAATGAACCACTCATGGCATGCATGCATATATTTTGTGTGCATTATTCAGTATACTGTATAAAGAATGTGTTTGAGAACATGAGTGGCATCCTGTGTATGTGTAATTAAATGTATGGCATGTACAGCATTTAGTGTTTGTGTGTGTATGCGCACATGTATAAGTACATGTATTTGTATGTGTACACGGAAGAAAAATACTGTGTTGAATTCACTCAGTTTTATTTGGTTAGAGGGGTGAAGAAAATACTTTGTAAAATCATCTGGATGCAGATCAATTTTTGAAGTGGATGTATGGCCTACTGAAAAAAAAAAATCACAGTCAATTGAATCCAGATGATTTTATTTCATGTAACCACATGGCATCATAAAATTGAGTAACTTCAACCAATTTTTCACAGTGTACCGTATGTACTCTACAGTGGACTCCCAAATAGTCCCGGTTAGGCACTTGTTGTATTGCATATTCCCAGATTTTTTTTTCTTCCAATAAGTATATAAGTATAATATGAGAATATTTTTTTCTTCCTTATTTCTCCCAATTCTTCATAGAAAATGCAAATTAAAGTTGGTTAAATTTTATTTGCATTTTTTTTTCCAAATGCATTTCATTTATTGGCGGATTTTTGCTATTTGCTGGCTGGCCTGTCCATATATACCCTGTAAATCACGGTGGGGGTCCACTGTATGTGTACTATATGTGAAGTTAAGATGATTATGAGTTTTACATAGAAAACATTTACAGATACAAGTCTATACGTGTGTGTGTGTGTGTGTGTGTGTGTGTGTGTGTCTAAACCAGAAACTAAACATGAGTTCACCTGGATCCTTCTGATCCTTTTGACCTTTCTCAACTTGAGCACGAAAAGGGGGAAAGAGAAGATAAAGAGATGTTTAGCATTGGAGCGCCTTTGAAGCCTGTTTTCACACTAACAGGGAACATGGGTGTAGTTTAAAGATGCTCTTGGCCCCCGTCTGATAATGGGGGGGGTTCGGCTCCAGCAAGAGAGGGTCTAGGCAACCGACATGTCACAAACACATAATCAAAACAGAGACGCTGTAACGGAACGTGACCTGTGAATGACAAAAGTGGTCAGATGCTTGTTAACGAAACAGACAAAAAGCTCAGGAAGACGCACAGACATCAGGCAGGATCAGACAGGACACACTGAGCGACTGGCCAAAGGTCAAATTAGGACAAAACCAACGTTGAAAGCGCTTCAGTTGAAAACAGCCTATCATGTCCTCCCATAAGGACTATCCCAGTTGTCACAAGCCTACCTGTTGGGCACCGAACATCACTGACAAATGATCAGACCACATGACTGGAGGAGGTATGTCAGCAATGTAAAAATGCATTCAAGTCAAAGGAATGTGCATTGAAACCAAAAGAAGCTCACAGACCAGACTGCGCATTCATATCCACCCCAAGCACATGGTTCTAATTAAAACAAAACAGACCCCGGCTGATTCTGTGGTGCTGCTCAGATCTCCCGACTGCTTCTTTGGACACTCAGTCTCACACATAACGGCACAGATAGTAAAAAAAATAAAAAATAAGCATGGAAAGAAATAGGGGAAGCCAAGCAGGGTATGAGATGAGAGGAGGGTTTTGGATGAAGGTACTCACGGATGGTTAAATCCATCACTTGAGACGCCAAGCAGAAGACAGGGTGCTCAAACATTTCCCTCTTTTTCCCTACAAAAAAAAAAAAGGATCGGGGCATGCAAGAGGCTGGGGTAAGACGAGGGAACGCTGGAAGCTGATGGGAGGATGGCTGTCTGGGTGAGACTGGGAGTCAAATGTTCTTTTTGGGGTAATTGTAAAGGGAAAAAAAAAAAAAGAGGCGCCTCACGAGGACAGCCGGAGGTCAGCTGACAGAGCACAGTAAGATAGTAAGGCTGTCTCCTTAATATCTTTTTGGCACGCTGAGCAGTTCTTTTCGAGGCATAAAGCAGCATCGGTGCATGCTGGCGTAGTGAGGGCTGATAGCAGGCAGCTCAAGCCAAGTAGGCGACTGGGGGCTCCTATTTTGTCGGGCTGTTGCCGGAGGTGGCAAGAGTACTCGCACTATGTACTTCAGTAGAAGCACAAACACTTGTGTTGAAAGAAAAAAAAAAGGACTGGTGGAAGCAGAATTACTGTATTCAAGTCCTTTTCTTTTTCACATCAAGACATATTTCAACAGACCAACAAACGACCAAATAACAACAATTGATTAAATAAAAAGTAGTTCTGGAATTAGCCCTGCGCGGGTTTTTATTTCCGACGAGTTGACCGGTCTCATATTGTGCTCTATAGTTGTTTCTATTTCACGTGTGCATTTACTGTATTTGAAAATAGACTATTTGCAAGTAAACATGTGACTCGTCTCATTTCTGATCGAATGTTTCAACACGCTGTGGCATAGTACTGCCTTCAAGTTTTACTTTGTGCCTCGCCACCAGTCCTGTGGGACTGCTGGTATGAATATCTCAAGATTAGCAGAGGTCGGAATCGCTAGCGAGGCTAACCGCTACTCTCTTCTACTACGATCTTAGTTTCAAATTCTGAGACCCGCACAAATGTATGAAGACTGTCTCGCCTTGTTGCCAGGACATTTTGCCGCTCTATAGCGTTACAGTCCAGCGACGCAGCAGACGTGCGAGTCAAAAGTCCTTTGTAAATTCGTCCACTGGAGTGCAAGATGCGAAAAAGACGTGATTAGCTTAGCTTAGCTAGCTTACTTAGCTTGTAGCAGACGTGTGCACATTTTCAGCATGACGTCTCTGACCCACTGGTGAAAGGGCACTTTGATCCTCTCCTCTTTCATCTATAACTGCTTCAAACAACAAAGTCTATGCAGGAAAAGTGATTATGATTGCACGACTGTCTGTGTCTTATGTGTTGTGTTGTGTTATTTTGTTATTTTGACTTCAAGATGGCGCCGCGAGAGTGGCTGCATTTCCAGCAGCTCCTATATTTTGTTCTTCTACTTCTTCCTTTCATAACTTTGCTGCTGTGAATTGGGAATTTCTCTAATAAAGGTTTTCTTATCTAGTGATTAGCCAACTTCAAGACTGAAACATCAATATAGAGTAGTGCATGTGATTTATTTGGTTCAACCGCTGATAGCTGGCTCAGCTTTTATGCTATCCCGGGTTCCCATTACTTGACTTAAATTGTAAAATACAGCTAAATTAAAGTACATACCTGGAATTTAAAAAAAAAAGAAATCTACTTCAGTAATGTAACAAAATTATCTTTGTCTAATTCTCTTCCACCAGTGCCCGAGTGAAACCTTGGACGTCAGATTCATCTATTTATTTTCGATAGCACTTATTGGCATATGGGGAGAGAAACCCCTCGCAAGTTTTACTGTCGTGTCACTGCCCGTATTTTCACTCACTGCTCACGCAGAGATTGGGCGGTCTACATGCCAATCATGAATCGCATCACCACTTGTTTGCTGGTGTTGCCACTTTGTTGCTTATTTCTTCAACCACAAGCACCCAACGCCAGCTGCCACACACTTACGCCAGTGTCATTGCTGTTCTATGCCAAGCAAAGTGCCCGCGGGTGGATCAAGATGACGTCTCAAAGCACATGCAAGGTGGCGGATGCTGGCTTGTCGCCCATCAATCCCAGCATCCCCGTTGCTTGGGAAGCCACTTTACTAAACGTCACCCCGATAGAGCGGAAAGCAACCGCGTGGGAGAGGAGAAGTAAGCAGAGTCGACAGGGAGGACAGCGGGAGACAGAGGTGACAGGAGAGCTGCTGGTGTTTTGAGGCAGCGGGGGTGTTAAGGGGAGCTTGAGGGGAGTTTGGGGGTGGGAGGGGTGGGTGGGTGCTGTTAGTAGAGGCTACTGCAGTGGGAGTCCTTTGGGAGCGGTGACTCAGAGAGGACCACCACCAAGTCCACATTGTCGAGGAGTCGCCACAACGACAGATCAGCTTGGACAGATTTCGGGGCTTTTTTTTTTTTTTTTTGTGGGAGTTGAATGCATTTTTACTCACACACACCTCTACACAAAGGGCAAGTTGAGCTACAGAACAGCACAGAGCTAAAGTGGGCCTGAAACAAAGGAGAGAGTTATTGCACTGAGAGACAGCGAGTGAGAGACACATCATCTCGGACAAAAGAAGGCGTCAAGACAAGTCGAGTCTCTTGTTGTCTTTTCTTGCTCATGTTCACCGCTGACAAGCAGGCTGCGTTTTCATTGCACTTTGTCTCGGTACAGAAAAAGTTAAGGCCCGACCGGCATGGATTTTATGAGGGAGAATCCGATTCTAATTCTTGGCAGAATAAAATACAATCGGCCATTTAATAAAAAAGTGCCTCGGGAATAAAATAACTTCTTTTCTTTCGAAGGTAAGAATTATAGGCAGAACATTTGACTCTTTTTCAATAATTAGTCCTGTAGTATTTGTTTTACTTTACAACAAAATACAAACTAGACCAAACTCAACCGCTTTTTTTTTTTTTTTTGATTGAATGTCATATTCGGGTCTCTCTCTCTCTGAGAGAGAGAGAGAGAGGGAGAATACATTTTAAAAATCTGCACAAATCAGAGGATTAAATCAAGCAGCCCATCGGGTCGGGCCCGACAAGAACAACATATTAAACAAACTGTTGGCACAAAGAAAAAAAGCTTTTGGTGCAGATATAGATAAAAGTGCATATTCCGCATCCCCACATCAAGTTCCACACATGCAATTTCAGCTTATTAAACACAAGCCCTAAGCAACTGTGATGTCATTTTCAGTCGATAACAACTGGCAAAATGGCCGCACCCAGGATGGACAAAAACAGGTTAATTTTACTGCTTATTCCACAAGCGCAATATTAATCAGAATGCCGTGTTTAGATTAGTGCGGCTGCATAACACATATTCCTGTAAAAAATAAAATAAAACAAATTGAGTCACTTCCCCTTTAATGCCAAAATTGAGCCACATATTATCTTTGAATTGGGTAACTATGAATATCGTGCAAATTCATACTACAAGTACTAGGCCATTTGAATTCACTGTGTGATCAAAAACAATTCTTTCAATTAAACATGCCATTCTGGATACATCATTTATTGTCATATTCTACCCAAAGAAAAGTTATTTTGGTTACCTTCAATTTTAGCATAGTCTTTAATCCGTTGGTAGTTGAGGTTAGCAGCCTGCTCCAAACATCTGCGGATGACCCCTTTAACTTCTTCTGGAGGGACTGGTGTCACAATGTCCTTCATCAGCACCTGAGCGTCAAAATTAAAGAGAAGCATGTGACCTGCTCATGTCTGTTCAGTAGGCATGATATCCACGTCAACACTCTCAGGACATTTTATGAGGTACACTTACATCATCTAATGCAGGAGTGGGCAAAGTATGGCTCAGGATTGGTTGGTTTAGTTGTGTTTAACCCTTTCAGGGACAGCGGTTACGACAGTGGACAGTTTATCATGTTATCAGGTTACAGGGTGCATGAAAGGGTTAACAAAGTTAGAAAATAACAAAATGGCCCTTGCACCCTTCAATTTTTCTGTATTCGGCACTCGAAGCAAAACATTATGTTTACATTATCAACAGTCTTGTAATATTAGTTGCATTTATTTACAGTATTCCCTAAAATTGCGCAGTTTGAACATTAACACTGTTCTTAGCCATGGGGGAAATAAAAAAAAAAATCTTTAAAAAATTATTCGATTACAGTTCTTAAAGATTCAATGCAAATGTATTGAATTTAAAAGTTAAATACAACTGATCTGTACTTTGTATTTTTTTTCACCTACCACTAGAGGGAGTTCGTGTACCACTACTGGTACTTTCGGCAGTGTGAGAATTAATTAGATTAATCTAGCATCAATGTGTTGAGTGTCTAATTCAGATTGTGCAACTGTATCTAATGTTGTAGCTGTTAAGTAGTCCACATAAATAGAAACGAGTATTTCAAACGTGTACAAACCCTCTCCAGCAAAGATAACGTGGCCTTCAGTGCACCTTCCGGACGGCCAAAGGGGAAACAATATCTACACGGAGCGGATAAGAAAAGATGTTCATATCGATTTGTAAGTGGAGTAAAGTGCAACGTGTGCGTGAGCACGCATGTCACCTGAAATTTACAATCTGGTTTTCCAAGATGACACGCAACCGCTCCTTGATGTCTTCAAATCGCTCCTTCTCGTCCACTTTGACGGTGCTCAGCCCGTCTGGCCTGTGAGGACCACACAAACACATTTGAAGGGGCAAAAGACCAAACTGTGACTTCACTTCAGCGAACATTTAAAACATGATAATCAGAGAAGTATAAGACGACATTTACATAGTTGCAATTAAGGAACTTCTTGGATAAATTGTATTTGTCAGGATAGTTTTAAAGCAACATAGGTTTTATTTTTATGAGTACTTTTGCTACAATCGGATCTTGGATCCATTGGGATCATTTTATTTTTAAAATAAACTTCACTGTTGTCGGTGATAATGTCGGGCAACAGTGACATGGCACATTGATTTTTTGTCGATTTGACCATCATGCTCTGATTTAAAGAATAAATAAAGGATGTCACTCACTAGTTCAATACTTGAATTTTTTTTGTTTGTTTTTTTTCCCACAGAATAATAAATCTTACACACGTACTTACTTGGAGGACTACTTTTTAGTTTTACATTTGTACAATACTCTTACTGGAGTATGACTCCACGCACCTCTGATGACAATGTCTCACCTGTTGGACTCTTGAGAGACTTTGGAATCCTTTCTCTTTCTAAACTTGAATATGAGGTGTGCTCGTTTAGAGCCAGTGTCAGGATTTGGCCTTTGGGAGCTCTTTGGGCTCATTAGGGCCTCGTAGCCCAGCGGCCCCCAGTAACTGCGGCCCTCTCTGACTTTAATGGACGCATGGGAGGATGAATAATATGGACAGTAAGAAACTACGGCAACAGAGGACAGAAAGAAAAGAACACAAAGAAAAAACAAGGAAACACGTGGAGATATGCAAATGGTTAACAACATAAATTTAAAGCAAATACAGCGACTGCATTTCGGGAGCTGTTATGTGTTTCCTGTGGGCTATTTTTAGGACTAAATCCCTCCGCCAGCCCCTTTCCAATTGGAGATGATTGTCTGACATCATGGAATCTATCCATCCATTTTCCGATCCGCTTTATCCTCACAAGGGTCGCGGGGGGTGCTGGAGCCTATCCCAGCTGTCATCAGGCAGTAGGCGGGGGACATCCTGAACCGGTTGCCAGCCAATTGCGCGGCACACACAGACGAACAACCATCCACGCTCACACTCACACCAAGGGCCAATTTCAAGTGTTCTATTAACCTGCCATGCATGTTTTTGCAATGTGGGAGGAAACTGGAGTACCCAGAGAAAACCCACACAGGCACAGTTAGAACATGCAAAATCCACACAGGAAGGCCAGAGCCAAAATCGAACTCTGCACCTCTGTACTGTGAGGCTGACGCGCTGACCACTTATCTACTGGGCCACCGTCATGGAACCGCCACTCTCTAATCGAGCATTTTTTAAATCGTGGCAGCTTGGAAATCCCCTGTAGCCACACGCCGTCTCTTACCAAATACAAAATGAATGGATTTGTTGATGGTATGCTGCGGCATAATAAGTGCAGTGTGAAAAGGGCTTCATGGAGAGATGCTTGACTTATATCCTACAAAAATGAAGTTTTTCACACCACAAATGTGTCAAAATAACCGACAAAAAACACATAACAGTCCTGTCTCTAGCCAAGGCATGAATCAAAATAGAAGGACAACATTAAAATCAAACAACACATAAAAAATAAATAAATAAATAAATAAATAAAGAGATTTACGAAGACATAAAATAACTGATGCAATGAATGTTTTCCCCATTCTAGTGGTACAACTGGTGACCAACTAATGTTTTTGTTTGTTTTTTTAAAGCAAACTGTGTGCCTGTAAAGCAATGGAACAACAACAACAACAAAAAAAAAGTGGTTTGTGCACACCTGTTCCCGTGCACGTGGGAGGCACAAAACGCAAAGCTGTAGTGCAGAAGAGTGGGGTCAATAATGGTGCCACTCTCCGCCCGCTCCAGCAGGTCGCGCAGGTAACACAAATGCCTGTGGCAACCTCGGACGCCGTTCCTGGCACAGTATTCGTCCAAGACAAACACCTGGCCCGGGCTGAACCATCCCTGCGCGGCACAAACAGCGGTCAGTAACCCGCGACACAACCCCCCGAAAGTCAATTCGGCGAGGAGCTCACCAGGCAGCAGAAGGTGTCGTTGAGCCTGTGGTCCAAGGTGAGCCGCTGCACCATCTCAAAAAGCGAGGCGTGGTCAAAGCTACAGGGGTTAGCCGAGATAAACTCATCCATGCCATGTTTCTGAGCTCTGTCAGCATCTATCCAGCCAACAGCAGAGGAAGAAGCACACGGTTGAGAGGAGAGGATGTCAGTGAAGCGCATGCTAAGTCTTGGTCATAACACAGAAACAACAGGGAATATCTGAATTTTTCTTGCTGGTGAAGGGGTGGGGGGGTACTTCTAAGGGCAAATTATAAACATTAACAGCTTACATTGTCAACTTGCATTGTGTCAGACAGCGTAAAGAGATCTGACGTTATCGGTGGGGGAGCTCAAGCTACGCTAAGAGCGACAGGCGCTTCCATTGTGTGTGCATGCATGTGTCTTTGCAGTGTCACAGTCCCTGGTGGTTTGCGAGGCGTCCTTAAAAAAAATATATATATTTCTGTCAATGTCGTCAATAGATTCTGCCATTCCTAATAGTTGTTTGCCACCCAGTTGTGTGCTACAAGCGCTATAGACTTTGCGATATCAAATCTGGATGCCGCAGAGAAAGCGGCGTGGTTGTAGTTTTGCTCTCAATCTCTTCAGTGTCAAAGTCAATGAGGAGATTGTTTGAGGAAAAGTGAAAGGAACGTGGCGGATGATCAAGTATTAAACCTTTCATTGAAATCCTGTCACATTCCTTGTGCTCTAAGATCTGCGAAGGGTCACAACACAACATTCGGTGTACTTGCACAATCTCGTGGGTTGAGATACAAAGGCTGTATTAAAAACAATTTTAAAAAAGGTATTCTACAGAAATACTCATTAGCAATATTACTTTTGCAATGTCTGAGCAGTGGATCGAGAACTTTATTTTCAATTTTCTCCATTTGAGTCACTGCATCATCCAAGGAGCAGTCCACTCTAGAATGAAAACAATGAAAAAGTCATTTGGTAGACTTTCCAAGTCCTGGAAGGGTTGAAGTCGCCAATTAAAAAGTTGGTGGAAAAACAAAGAAAACAATGTGTGAGCAATTTCCACAGAAATTTGTGCGCATTGGCCGAGAGCGAAGCCATTATATTTTGGTACGTATTGTTGTCATTTCTCATTTGTGAGCATTGTGAAGGGCGCGTTTTTGGTTATCCTTAATTTCGCAGGATACATTCATCGCCAGTCAGTCTTGAGGATTGCGGGTGAGTTGCCTATCCCGGCTGACTTTGGGTGAGAGGCGGAGCGCACCTTCTACTGGTCATCAATGAACCTCATGTGCATGTTGAGCCCCTCAGGGGGACAAAAACATGCAAACTCCACATCAGCAAGATGGGCTGAGATTCAAAAGCGCAACCTCAAAATTTGGAGTCACCCCTGCTAACTGGTAAATGGATTGAGGAAGCAACCAAATTATGCATCGGAAAACCCCACAAAATCATGTGGGCATGGGCCAAGAAAGATTTTTTTTTTCCAATTTAGTCGGCATTACGGATACGGTTCTTGGATCTGATCTCATGAAATTGTGCAGGTGCACTGAATGAAGTGGCTGTGAGCTCAAATAGGTGACGTGGTCGTGTCCTCTGTGTGAGTGACAGGTGTCAGGTCCGTGACACACAGACAAGGTGATGATGGCTCGGGAGGAGCGTGGTGTTGAATGCGTTGGCCTGATTTGGGGGCTGGGCCAGGCCTGGGGAGAGAGCGCAGGTGACATCTGTCAACCTCCGGGTGGGAAAGGCTGATGGGGGACAGGCTGCAATATGGGCGATCGGCATTCCGAGGCACTCTTTCACCAGGGAGACTACAGAAGGTTACGGTTAGCCTCTAATCTGAGGAGGAAAAACCTGCAAGGCGGCAAGTCAAAATGTGCACGAGGACGTTAAGAGCGTGAGGACAAGTGAACTTGTGGAAAGGAGAGGACGAATGGAGTGTGACGACACAAAGTGAAGATGGAGGACACTGACAGAAGTTAGGATTGAAAAGACAAACAGGAAGTGGACAATAAGACAAAAGAGAGGGGGAAAAAAAAGGAAGACCACAAGGAGAGAGTTACCCGTGGCCCAGTTACCAAGAGGCGATATCGCAGCATGTTGGGCGAGTGCGACAACATTCCCAAGTGTGGGCAGAAGGCACCTGGCCTTTCTGTCCTTTGTTTCGAGTAAGCGAGGACATCACGAGTAAGTGCGATGGGCTCGCTTGACACCACGGCACAATTCCAGCTCGCAAAGAGTAACGGCAACAATATAAGCGAGTATGTTCGCAATAAAACGAGCACATGCTTGGAGAAGTAGCCGTGTGAAATTTGAAACGTCATGCAGTCCCGCGTTCAGGTTTGCTATTTTGAATTGCGTTCCCTCTCTTTTGGAATTCTCTTTTTCTCTCTCTACGCATTTGCAAGTTGACAATACTTGAATGTGGTGCGGTGTGTTCATGGTCATCTACCGAGCAGACTAACAGGCATGTCACTACCAAAGAAGTCGAACAAGGGTAGCATTTCGGTGCAAGAATGGGTAAATAGCATGAAAGCCAACATAGGCAGAAGTCTACCATTCTCTGGGAGATGGGGAGTGGGGGTGGGGGTGGGGGGAATGAATGGAACCTCTTGTTTTGACAGAAACTAACAGACACACGATAGAAGTGTCCTCCTATTCAGGCAAACCAAATGCTATTTGGGATCTCGGCTTTCTGAAGGTGGACCACTGGACTTGCCTTGACGTCTACAGGCCCGTCTCCTGTGGGAGGAGTGGGGAGAAGGGGAAGGGGGACAAGGGGGGGGAGTTCCGGAGTATTTCATCGTAAGAAGGGGCGGCATTAGCTACTCCTTGTCTTTGGCATTCAGAATACTCCGCATACATATTTGCCAACTCTCGTCAAGGCAAGGTGAAGCAAAACATCAACGTCTATGAGCAAATTGAGCCCTCTATAGTAAAGCACGTCAGCAATGTCACACATTGACTCCACTCCCTAGCGTACATCGAATGAATTACTCATGTGCCATCGAGCGAAATCTTCCAGGTTTTCACCTCTTTCATATCTCATCAATAATGCATGTGAATAGTTCATATTCCAGGCCAATCTGTCTTCATTCTAATCATCAAATTGCTTTACTCTTGAGGGGTCGGGTTACCAATGTGAGCAAAGAGAGAAGGCAATTATGCAGGAACAACTATCATATCCACGTTAACCAAATACTAAGCCAAAAATAAACAGAAAAAAAAAAAAAAAACGTTCTTAGAGACATGCATCCTATACTGGCACGAATGGATGCTTCTAGAATTTGATCCTCAAGTGGAGGTTGTCAAAAAGGGAAGAAAAAAAAAAGTTCTCAACTAAGATCTAAAGACATGAAGCGAGACATGAAGAAGGAGCAGAGGAAGGAGAAAGAGCGAGAAGAGAGAGAGAGAGAGAGAGAGAGAGAGAGAGAGAGAGAGAGAGAGAGAGAGAGAGAGAGAGAGAGAGGGGCAGAAAGAAAGAGCGTTGCATTTGTCAGATAATCGGCGGGGATTATCTGAGCTGTGCCGGCTACAGGGAAGCACTTACCCTTGAGTCCAGCTAGAAGACAGCAGGGTAAGAAGGGACAAACCAGAATAACATAAAGACTAGCAACAAGGCTGGAGGAGAGCAATCACGAGAGACCCTGACTGACCGAGCAGCTAGCGGCATTACTGAAGAAGGGTAGACAGGCAAAGCATGAAGAAGAAAACACAACTGAGAAGAAGAAAAAAAAAAACAACAACAACAATAACAACAACAACAAAACAACCACCGATACCGACACGAGACCTCGTGGCTTGTGAGTACATGTGAGGACGACGTGTGACAAAGGACGCTGAGGCGATAGAGGAGGAGGGAGGAAGAGAGCGTTTAGCATCCCCGTCACTCCACTGTAGCGTTTGGGTGTTCGTTTGAGGGCCAGCACTGAAGGAATAGAGAGCGACTGATGAGGGACCGCCCATTTTTTTTTTTTTTTTAAAGTGACAACACATACCTGTGAAGCGGAAGGTTATGAAAAGGTCACAGCGTTTGAGAGATGCCATTATGATTCTAGGTATTAGCCATTTGGACTAGTTGCAGTGGTACCTCTACTTACGAACGTCTTTTCATACCAAATTTTCAAGTTACGAAATGCCTCAACAGGAAAATATTGCCTCTTGTTACGAAAGAAATTTCAAAATATGAAAGGTAAAAAAAATTCGCAGCTCCGGGTTTCCTGAACCCAACATACGTAACCCTTGTGTTACAGTTTCTACGATTTTCGTAACACAAGGGTTACCCCATATGTTACAATTTCTACAATTTTTGTAGATTTTTGCGTATTGTCATCTTTAAATCAAAGACCAAGCATAAATTTGTGTGATATGAAATATTCCAATTCATGTTTTATTTATATAGATTTATATTTATGTTTTGGACATAGCACAATACCGCTTTTATTGTCCATAGAGGGCAAAAATACAAAGAAAACAATAAGAACTATATGTGTATGTATAGCACTGGTGCCACTGAACATGTCGAGTGGTTGAAAGTAAAATAAATATTCAGGAATAAAACTTTTACAATTTTTGTAAAATTGTATGTTGCGTTGTATAAACGTATTTACATCGACTGCAGCACATTTAAAGCTGCTCTGCCATTGGCTATTACCTAGCATGTTCCTGGCATTCCATTGGCTAAGAGGGACTTCTACTGTGTGTAGATAGATGTTAGTTGTCGTTGCAGCGTCCTCGTCATTCGCCCTTCGGTCCATGAGGCGTTCTGAATCACCCAGAAAAAGTGTTCACCAGTCCGACGATCGCTCACTATGCTGATGTTTGCCTTGGACATTTTCGAAGGATTGTTAAAAGCCGACAAAAGCAAACGTTCTTGGATCTGTTCTTTACAAAACGCCAGGCAAAAACCACTTCTGAGAGAGAACATGAACTAAAGAGGGCAGAAAACGATGAGGACGCAGTTAAGTTAAATGAGCATCATTTTTAGTCTTTTCTCTCTTCTGTTTTTTACATTATGCACAACTCTTATTTATTGTGCAATAATCTAATTGTAACATGTATTTGTTACATATTTTGATGCATTTTTATGCTTTAGAAAACATTTAGGTCTGAATTTTGGGGGGGCTTGGAACGGATTAGGGCATTTACAGGGAAAACGCGTCCCTACTTACAAAATTTTCGAGTGAAGAAATGTCTTCCAGAATCCTTTAATTTCATAAGAAGAGGTACCACTGGATTTCAAATTCGCCTCACGGGGCCTGCAATGACGTTAGCATTTTCCCGTCCTTTGACCGGTTGGTCGGCCAAGTTTGACTAAGAGAACACATCTATAGTGATCGAGCCACAGTCATAAATTTCGCAGTCAGCATCTGTGGTGTGTCTGACGTATGATATTAAAAAGATGAAAATTGATTCGGAACTTCTCCTGATGATGTATGTGGCATTGTTGTGTGTCATCATATTTAGTTTTGGAATAGTATTGATCGGTTCCTCTATCTGCGACAGACACGATCGTGCTGGTATTAGGAGGTCGATTAAGTCGGTCGCACGTACTAAATGCACAGCGGCCCACCACTGGTTTGTGTGTATTACAGCCTTTCTTAAATATCCTCGGGTGTGTTTACATGACAAAAACTTGGTAAAACAGGAATAATAAGTATGCCAGACGGTTTCATGTTTTCCATGAAAACACGCCATTGTATTAGAGTTTCAACTACTGCCCAAAAGTTTGTGAGTCACCTTTGAATCTTTTTTTTTTTTAAACCCAATTTGCAATGCCTACATTTTGGATTATTTCCTTGATTGTAAAAAACATGTACGTGAGTATCTGGATCTACACACACACATGTGCTTTTCTTCTGCTTGAAGTTATGTGTCTCCAGTGGCCGCGGTAGTTTTGGAGATGTGTTCATATGTTCGTACAAATGCACCAACACCACTGTGGTCTGCTATCATTGTTTGCTTTGGGTGTGACACACTGACACATGGTTACACTTAACAAACACACACGCACACACACACACACACACACACGCACACGCACACACACACGCGCGCACACACTCAGTTTTCTAAAGGGTGACAGGATTAAAAAATTCCCTTTGAGAGCCGTTTTTCTTTTTTTTTTCATGCTGCAAAACACCATTCTTGCGTCATTAATTGCCACAAGCATACTTGTTGTATCCTTCTTCATTTAAAATCAGTGTTGTGTAACCAACCCCTTAAGGGAACCCGTCATCGTTTTTTTTTTTTAAAAACATGACAGAAAAAAAAATGTTGGCTGCAAAAAAAAAAAAAAAAAAAAAAACTTGCTTATAAGTCGATCTGAAATGTGTTCAGAGAGTCACTGCGAAGGATTACAAACTAAAAAAATCGCGGAGGTCCTGTTCTGCTTGAGTCTCTCTTGTCTCCACGTTTGAAAAGACATCTGATTCAAACTGGCACGGGGACATTTGCTGTGATGAGTTAAGTCTTCCGACAATATATTATAGGCTACAATGCGTACGAGGGTGTGCACACTTGTGCAAATGCCATTATTGCCGTTTTTAGTTCTGTATTTACTTTGATTTTTTTTCCCTAATTTTATTGTGTTTCACATGAACGATGGGAAAAAAATGTTGAAATACTTTATTTTAGTGCCTTTTTTTTTAATATCATGAAAACTTTTCATAACCACTGTACGTGTCCTTTGAACCCATCATGTGCACCACTTTTACAGTAGATCTTAAAATAAGTCAATGTGTAAGGTTATAGGGAATAAAGTGCAATGTTAAAATGGCAGCGCATTTCATTAAATGTAAAACGCTTGTCACAAAAATAATAAAAAATGATCCCATTTGTCTACGCTTGCTGTGATTACATTTTGTTCGTGTTTTGTTGATGTTCCGCTGTTGCTTTGTTTGGTCTAGCTGATTTTTTTGCTTCCAATATCGTCTCTGGTCTTGTTTATTTGTGACTCTTCCATACATTGTTAGTAGAGCACATCTCAAGGAAAAGGGGAGAACGACTTTCCATTTCCCAAAAGTCCAATCAGAACTTTCCGAGGACTGTTGATTAGCACTGCAGCGGAGTCAGGAGGACGACGTACGTTATGATCCCGGGGCCATTCAAGACCACCAGGGGGTGAAACATGTTTTGCGCAGCGTGCCACAATGTTTCAGTGGAGGGGTCGAGGGACTGGTGAGGTGGGGTCACCGCGGCGAAGCTTTGAATGGCAACAGCTGGCGTCAGAGGAGTCAACTAACCACACGAACGATCACATACTGGACAAAGAAACCAATGAAGAAACAAAACAGAATTTACGTGCTAGCGTTCGGAGGGGCTGAGCCAATTTATGCCAATTTGAATGCAATGATGCGGTTATAAAAAGAGAAGAATACACTAGAGGGGCTTTATTGTGAATTTCTTTTGTTTTCTTGGAATTGAGGTTAAAGACTGCCAAAAGGTTTCTTTCTTTTTTTTTTTTTCATTTACACAATACGTTGAAACGATGCACACAGGACTTCCTTGTTTTATTCTGAATAGCAGGATCTATTACTAAAGCGCAATATCCAGTATTATTACAACTGCGTAGCCAATTGAGAATGAGACAATTATAATTGTTTTGAATGAAAACAATTTGCAGTAAATGTGGATTCATTTGAAAAGAGCGATTAGGGGAAACAAGAGACAGAAATTATAAAAACAAAATTGGGGACAGATGCCACACGACTGCATTCTTACCTTCACTTTTCTACCTGACGTGGGGTGCTTAGAGTGTAATGGGTATGGTGTATAAAACACATCTGGCCACCATTCAGTGAATAAAACATGCCTACGGTTTGGAACTTGAGCAGGTCACGCTGACGTCAGCTTGAATTCCACCCCAGCAGCCTTGAATGTTCAGATTTCATGTCAGATAGCTGTTGTGGTTTCACACCATCTTTCCTAAGTTGCTCGTTGCTTGCGAGCTGATGGGAGAGCCTGTTGGGTTGGCACCTTTGGGAGTGGGCGGAGTGAATGAGTGCTGGTCCAATCCGTGACAGGTCAAGTGTAAGTGCGTGAGTGTGCGTGCTTGTTTGTTAGTTCTACCAGCAGGTTTGTGAGCGCAAGTGCGGCGCGCACGAGTGCGAGACATTCACGAGCCATCACTGCGTCGTGGATGGAAACTACCTACGGTCTACCTCGGCGTGACGCGCTTCGGCCTACTTACAGAACTGAGAGATGGGAGCGTCCATTTGAGCCGAGGCACCCCCTTTGGAATTAAGTTTCTGGACCTGAGTGGGCGGGACGGGCTTGTGGGACTGGCCGGTGGCGCGATACATGGCCTGGACCCACAGGATGCGGTCCTGCTCGTCATCGCTGGCGAAGATCACAGTGTCGCCTTCCTTCACCGCGTTGAAGAAAGCCCTTCCGCCATCCAAGCCTGTCACAGGAGCAGCAAGTCAGACGCTTTAAATTAAAGAGGGGGGAAAAAAAAAAAAAACTTTGGGTGTATCGATGCAAACTCAACTGCCTGAGGATCGATG